CTTGAGAAAAGCAGTGAGTCATGCAGCCAAAGGACCAAAATAACACCGTGGTGTTTGAGAACAGTCACTGGCAATGTGGAGGTCTGCAGTGTTTTGAGTGCAGTGGTGAGGAGGATTGGCTAAAATGAAAATATAGTTTTGGTCCAGAGTGGCATGAAAGTTTCTTAGCCCCATTCCCATGTGCCTGCTTCTGTTCAAAACTTTAAAGGAAGAACAAAATCTATCTTTCAATATCCAGTTTGGATATTTTTAATAAAAAGGATCTCTAAAATGAAGGGGACAGACTTTAGTATCCTTCGTAAATATTGAGATTTTCCCTCCTTGCTGTCTATTCTGCGGTAATCCCCTGGTCAGTCTTCATCGTGGGGAGGCAAAAGACCCATGTTCATGTTTCTTGTTGGCCCAGGAGGACCAGAGGCCTCCACCTATCCTTTCCAGGAAGGTATCCAGAATATGCTTTTTAACCTGGAAGGGGAAGAGTGGGACCCCTCCTGCAAGTAGTGGTAAACCAAATCTCTTCAGTTTTATTACACTTCTTAGAATTCATAAATAAAACAGTGCCATGTGCATTTCAGTGTTTTAGCCACTAATTGTGAAAGAAAGCTTCTTCCTGACCTTCAAAAATTTGGGAAGGTAAAACCATTTAAGCGATGCAATTTTCCTTTTGGCCCTCTAGGGCAGTAAGCGAATTAATGTGTTAGGTGCTTCCTTCTGTGGATTGAGCAGAAACTGCTGCCAAGGAAGGTGAGATGCAGAGAAAGGTAGATGCTAAAAGCATCAGGGAGTTCTTGAGGTGTGACAGCGACCTTCTCCTCCACCCCATCTTTGATGAGAGTCCTCCACGTCTGTCAGGTTGAAGTGCAATTTGTTAATACACTTGGCAGATTTTTCTTTAATTATTATTATTTAAAAAAACCCATAATTTTTTTTGTCATTGTTGGTTTGGTTTGGTTTGTTGGTTTTTTGGCTTTTGTGATTTTTAAAAGCTATTTCCAGACTAAGGCCCTTAGAAACCTTAGAACAAAATGAAACTCTCCTCTCCTTTCAGAAACAGACCCCAGCAGCCTGGATTCTCGGGACTGTTGCATGAGGCTTACTGGGAGGCTGTCTGATGGACTTGAGTTAGAAACTGGTAATGTACTTTCTAGAAGGAAAGAGAAAAAATTATCCCTAAAATAGATGACCACACTGTACTTATTAATTATTGATGTTATGCTGGATAACTTCTTTCTTCTATTATGAAATTGGAGGAAGAGGTGAAATTTTAATGGAGGAGTAGGTAGGATCCAGGGATTCTTATTTAAGAGACATTTTAAGGCAGACCCTGCCAGTCTGATAATGTCAATGCAGCATGTCTGTGTGTGTGCGTTAGAGGAAGCTGCAGTGTGAAAACTCACCAGTGTCATACTGCTATCAGTTCTCATCTTTATATGATGAGTAATGTAGATATGTAATATCCTCAACCTTACACATAAATTTGTAATTGTGCTTCCATTCTAAAATCACAGGAATTGGGAAATCTGTAGTTATTTTTCCAGGAGCAACTGGATTCTTACTGACTTGAATGTTGCTGCTTTTACACCCTTTCACCCTGCTCAACACAGACAGATTTGCAATCTGAAAGCAATGTATAGACATCACTGTAAAGAACACAGGAATCCTCCAGAGTGATAGAATTCTTAAAATTTGTATTCAAATAGATGGGTTTGTTTTCCTATAAAACAAGTATTCAAGGTGAAGAAGTAGAAAACTATCTGTTGCTCTCCCTAGAGAGATGTGCCACCTCTAAGCCAGCCTGGCTGCTCTTTCCTGCAGCCCATCTGAGAAGCAGTTGCCCAATGGGAAAGGGGGGAAGAGTTGGTGAATATTTTTGGGGTTTGTGTCAGTTTTTAAGTGGATTTAAATCAGAGTATCTCAGTTTAAGTCAACAGAAGCATCTGAGAATCTTGCTGGTGCAAGACTTTTTCTTATTTAGAGACAAGAACAAAAATGCAATGTCATTGCTGAGCAACCCACCTATATAGTGTGTGTGCTTCAGGAAAAAGAGTTACTGAAGTATAAAACCTATTTTAGTACTGAATTACTTCAGCTGAAATTCGGTGATTAGGAACCTGCCTCTTTCATATTTAGTCTAAATTTTAAAGTTCCTTACCAAGAGCAAGGTGGTTGGACAGGAGAGCAATCAAACCAGCTAACCTTCTTAGCTGTTGTCAGGAAGCCACAGGCTACCAGCAGAGGGGGGAAAAAGCTGCAGTGATTCCTAACTTGGTAAATTCCTGCTAAACTTCAAGAAGGTAGATTTGGTCTGAGTTCAGATGTAACAAATCTGCAAGGAGTCTCTCTTGGGTAGAGTCTGTTTTGGGAGATATACAAAAGTATGTTTTGTTCTAGCATCTTATAAGTTGGGAATAACTCCCAGTTTTTTTCTTTGCTTACTGGTGTTTGGTTTTATTATTGTAAGTGAAATTCTGTAATGTGCTCAAGATCAGATTGCACACAGGCACCTGTGAGATGACTTGTTTCTAAAGCTAGCTGAGAACTGAATTGCAGATCTGTGTCCCACAGAAATCCAAGTACCCAGAAATATCTAATCTCACTTCAAGGATATGTAGCTATAGCCCCATTTTTGCAAAAGGAGGAAATAGGGACTACTTAGTTTTTTAAACTTGCACCCGTTATTACCTCAACCAGCCAGTTGTTTATTTTATTAATGGTAACAGTATGTTCCTACTGTGTCATCTGTGGGCGTTGCATTTGCTGATTCCTTCTCTAAGAAGGGTATCGATGCCTGCATGATATCTGCCTTCCAATTTACAGCTTTTAATAAAGTCCTAAATGAATTATTCCGGCTTGCATAGGCCTGGGAGACTGAGCTGGCTACTTTGTTGGTTGTCTGAGCTTTTCTTGAAATATGAAGATTTATAAACAGGAAGAAAAAAAATTTCTCTCTTTGTTCTGAAGTTGTTTTTAAGTCTGCCGATTTTCAAGGCAGGCAACATGGTAAAAATGTGGGTGGAGAAGTGGACATTTTCAGCACCATGCAGATGAAGGGAAAGACAGGGTGGGGGATTCTCAACTGGGAAATAGAAAATGTTGGGTGTGTGGCAGCACAGTTTCAGGAATTTGTGCTATTAGTGTTAATATCACTTTTGGTCAGAGGTCAGATTTCTGTTGTTGAAACTTTGTTTTGCAATTTTCTGTTTGCTGTTTTGTTGAAGAGGCTGTTTTTCCAACCTTTGAGACCTTTACTTTGTATTTCAGGTTTTCCTCTGATCTCAGAACTGATGACTGACCCTGTCTTAGTTTGGATCATAAAACTGTTTTCTTTCAGACGTAAAAAGCTTTTTAAGTTGTTGCCTAATTTTTTTATTGAATTGATTACTGTTTCTGTTTCAGTTACTCTAGGCTTGATTTAGAACAAATTACATTTTATATATAGAATGAAAAGGATTAATTATAAAAATGGCTATGCCAACACAGACAGATGCATCTGTTTGATTATGTTGGGAAGAAACCCCTTAAAATTATTTGGAGTGCTAGCATGTATGTTCAGTCTGTAGAGAAGTTTCAGGTCTCAGCATTTAACCCAGAAAGTTTTGTTTATTTGAAACCCATGAATCGCAAGCATCAGGAACTTGCTAGTTGCTTGGCTTTCCTGGTATGAAGATGTTAACAACATGTTTTCTTTCTCTTCTCCTTTTTTTTCCTCTCTCTTGAATACTGAAATCTGATAATCTGATACAAAAATCCACAAATGTGCCTGCTAAATTAAGTTAGAATATTAGTTTAGTGAACATTGGTCTGTTTTCTTCCTACCTCCTTGAATACCTTTTTTTTTAAAGTGCAATTTTATTATTAATAATAAAGTGAGTATATTTTCTTGATTTCTTAAATATTTTAAAATTACTTTTCATCTGGCTTATAAAAAGGTCTAATTTCAAGTTTACAAATGACAAATATGTTTTTTAGCAAGAATGTTTTTAGCTCTCTTAATCTGTCTCAATACTTTCTAGGATTTATAGTTCTTGGATTTCTGTTAGAACAAAGGAATAAATCTCTGTTTAAAATGGAATCTAATTTGACTTGATTTAGTCAGGCTTTTGCTTTAACAAAATAAAAAAAAATATTATTGAAGCTCTACAGCAGATGAGATTTGTATCTTTGGTCTTTCATAGTTATTTTCTCCATATGGGGGAACAAATATAAAGTTGAATAATACCCTGAATCCTAGAGCACAGTTTGACTGACAGACCTGGTGCAGCTGATGGAGCGTTTTTTGATGGGGGTATAACAGTGTTTGTGTCACTATGTGGCGACAATCCCAATATATTTCTCAGTACCAAATGCCATAGCATTAATGTTATGATTTGCCAGGGGTGGAGTAACTGTGGTGCAGCATACAGACCTTGCAAAAATAAATTATACAGTTGATGTCTACTGAACACAAGCATAATTGAAAACATGATTTTTTGTGAACATACTGTTTACTGAGCACATTTTACTGCTCTTTCCTAACTCGGGGTTCATCTCTATCATCTAAGTTAATTTTCTTTGTGATATTCAGTGTTTGTGCATGGGGAAAACTGCAGGTCTGTTTTGCAGTGCGGAGGGGGAGAGAATTTAAAGCGTGCTTTGCAGCATGTTTTAACATGCCCAAGCTGCCATAGTCCAGCAGCAGTTCATGACACCTGCCTGGTTTGGGAAGATCCCTGCACTGTGATACACAGATCCGTCTGTTCTGCTTTTGCTTCTCCTCTGTGCCCATTGTTGAATGCAGATGGTTTTAAGGATGTAAACTGAAGGTGGCTGCTCGGGTTACTCAGTCTGTGCTCATCTGATTCCCAGCCTCCCATTGCTTTGCATCTCCCACTGCCACAGAGGATGGCTGTGCAGGTTTCTTCTGGTAACCTGCACCTTTGCAAGCTCAGTAGTTTTCATTATTCTCTTCCTGACTCTTCATAAATGAAAACTTTAGTATGTGACTTGGTTTTGTTTTGCAGCTTGCCTGATTTCTGCAGCAACCTGAAGGAGAGCTGGTGCCCAGGACTCTAGAACTTGGTGCTTTAGTACAGGCTTTCCACCAACAAGCTGGGAAGAGTAAGTAACCTGTTCCATTTCTGGGGATCCTGTGGGGTGGGAAGACTCTTTCTGAACTTTCATGTACTATGTCTTAAACACTAAATTTTCTAGGTTTCTCCCAGCACAGAGACTGGAGGTACCTGTATTTCTGTGCAGTATTTACATTGTTTATCATGATGTTAATGAACAAAACTGGTCCAGTTCTTGTAGTACTCCAGCAAGAGTTCATGCTTTATCCGTTTCTGCAGTTTATCTGTTCTGTGACTTGCTGTGCACCTCACGTGGGAAAAGGCTGTACACATTCATCGTAGTGCTGCTCCTGTATGGTGTCAGTAATGCTATCTGTTAATGGGGACACCTGTGTTGGATATCAGTGTCCTGTGCAGTTCAAGAAGTGCAGTCTCCTGTGACATATCCAAATGGTTCTGTGGGGGTCTCAGGGTTGGAGTGAGCCCCACAGCAGCAGTACTTTGTGACTCCAGCTGAGGCTGTCTATGTGGAGGGATTACCTGGTGACACGCTCACCACCAGCTTCTGCTGCTATGGCTATCCCTTCCTTCTCGCGTAACTTTGCAGGCTGGGGATGTACTTACCAGTACCTGGCAAGCCACAGGGTTTCTCATCTTCAGAAATAAGATATGCAAGAAGTCTGGAACTGTCTACTCATAAAGAAAGTGCTGTTAGCTGGAAGTCTTGGGCTAAGCATGTGTGTAGGTTTGTCTGTGCCATACAAGTAGTCATATTGGCAGAGCTCTGCAAAAAACCTGCACTGTTTGCTGACAGAAGCAGTAAGTTTTTCCATCAGGATTTCCTTTCTACCCTCCTGAAATGCAGCAGCACTCTTCTGGGCTTTTGCTGATGTGATCCTTACCAAGGGTGTTATGTTGTACGGTTCTAATTTGTGGAGGTGAGCTGGCAGAGCTTTCAGTTGCATGTGAGCCTTGTAGCCACTGAGAAATCTTATGCATGCCTTGAGTTCTTGCTTTACTTGTGGGGTGCACAGCTGCAAACTCTCATCCTGTGAGTTTCCACTTCAGCTGGTTAGCTAAAATATAGAGAGAAGATAAATGCCAGTATCTAGACACAGATTTAGAAAATGATCTTTCATGCTTCATATTACTTTTTGCAGAGAATTCCTTATTTAGAAAGAACTTCTCATCCTGAAGAATTTCAGAAGTTTTAGGGTTTGGGGTTTTTTTTGTTAATTTTGTTTTTTCCTCCCTAAATAAAGCTACACTCCAATGAGATATTTATTGTTAAAGCAGTCTTTGCACAAAGGGAACGATGAGACTCTAGCCAGCCTGGGCTAGTCTCGTGTTGGTGTGCAGTTGTTTTAGCCAGTGCAGTAAAGATGGCTCTTATGGAAAGGCTCAGGGTTAATCTTGGTCTTCATGCTTTTTGTGTATGTTAATCAAGCAGGTTTAGTGGTCCGTAATACACACGAGGCTTGGGCTAATGATGCAACTTCTTTTTTCAGGTTGTTTTGATTTAGTCTCTATACCTACTTGACAGAGCCTCAATTATTACGTGGGAATCAAGCAGTATTCTTCTAAAACATAGAGTTGTCATGCAGATTATTAATCAGCACAGGCTATCAGAAAGTTCCTGTTATGTTATCATCACTTAAAATCACAGAATTATAGAATGATTAGAACTAGAAAGAATAGCTGCTTGTTTGTGAAAGATGTTATTTATAAAATCAGGCTAAGTTTTGGTGCTTGATTTTGTTAACAATATGTAGTGAAGGAAACCCTGGGGGAACTTCTCCAGTTGCAGCAGGTGAATGGAATAGCCTCTGCTTCTGCTCCCAGTGCTGTGATTATTTGTCATCACTTTTGCCACTGGTAACAGCAGCAGCAGGTGTAGTACTGGGTAGTGTAGCTAAATGATACTTAAATAAATAAATAAATTTCTTGCTATATTGATAGCAGTTGTTCTTGCAAGCCAAGGACACAGCTCTTGCCTTGAGGAGGAGAGGGTGTTGTGGAGAGGAGAGATCTGAAAAGAAATAATTGAATTGTAGCTGGTTGATTGTCTTCAGGTGGTATTTTATTGTCCCCCTACTCATCTTACTTGTCAAAAAATGGAGAAAGGCACCATGAGGTAGAAATTAACAGCGTTTTAGAAAATGTTAAATAAATTGCTTTTTTTAATGGAGCATTGCAATATTTAATGTGATTATTCATGGCTCGTGATTAGGAAGCATCAACAGCAACATGAAACTATTCTGATTATTCTGACAGATGTTTAATACTAAAAAATATGGTTTTTTTCTAAGAATAAGTTCTTCCATCAAGAAAGATAGAACTCTTATGAGATAACTGCACATAATGAACCCTATCTTGGCTGCATCCTAAAAGGCTGACCATATTTCAATATGCTACACAATGGTTTCAAATACTTTTTCAGTTCAATAAAGCTACAAATCCTACATTATATAATTTGGTTGTCTCCTCTAGACATTGTTTTTGAGGGAAGGTGAGGCTAAGCAAGTACTTTGACAAAAAAATTCAATACAATTTTCAGTGCAATTACTACTTCATTAAATTTTTCAGAAGTTGTTTAGCCTGGGATTGTTTATCCTGGGGAAAAGGAGGCTCAGGGAGGACATTATCACTCTACACAACTACCTGAAATGAGGTGGTAGCGAGTGGAGGTTGGCCTCTTCTCCCAGGTAGCAAGTGACAGGACCAGAAGAAATGGGCTCGAGTTGCACCAGGGGATGTTTAGGCTGGATATTAAGAAAGATTTCTTCACTGAAAGGGTTGTCAGGCATTGGAACAGGCTACCCAGGGAAGCGATGGAATCACCTTCCCTAGAAGTGTTCTGAAGACATGTGGACATGGCACTTGGGGGTATGGTTTAGTGGGGAACATGGCAGTGCTGGGTTAGTGGTTGGACTGGATGATCTTAAAGGTCTTTTCCAACCTTAATAATTCTATGACTTTATGATTCTGTTTTGTTATGACACTGATACATTAATCATGAGGTTTTGTTATAAAGCTATAGAGGTAGTTTGTGTGGTTTCCTCCTAGAAAGACCTAAAAACCACTGGGGTTTTATTTCCTATTTCATTAACTTAAAGTAATTTTTTCCCTGTGATGCTACAGAAATTACTCTTTCCACCATTTATTTATTTACTAAAATGCTGAGGGTTTTTATGGCTGATGAACAACTGTTTAGTCAAGAGATGTTGTATGAGAGTTCTCTATGTTGAATGGCTCTGCCATAAAACCTCCCAAAACTGGAAACAGAGGAGAGGTTTATTTTGTGTACTCTCTTTGTATACTACAGCACTGTTGTCCTTATAAGTTCCTCATGACTTTGACTTTCTTTTCCCTTCATATCCTTGTGGGTTAAAAACCAAAACAAGCCCCAGAGATCTGAATTGTTTTCTAATAAGAAATGTAAATGAGTTGCTTCCTACAAATAAGACTCTAGTCCTTCCTTCAGCTCAGCAGCAAAAAGATGATGTTGGAAAGAGATGTAGCAGTTGTCGAGTTTATGACAAACTGAGACATTCAGACACATGCTTGGGAGCTACACCTAAAAAATGGGACTTTTAATGGGGGGGGTGGGGGAAGTAATAGAGATTAAAATCCTGAATCATACCTCATATGCTTTCAGTCATTCCTGGATTCAACTGCTTCACAGAAGTAAGAAAGCTAAGAAATTGTGCAGAAGGCAGAGTGAAAAATCTGTTCACAGTTTCTTCCAAATCCTATTAGATGAAAACCATGTTATCCTTTGAAACAAGATACCCTAGGTCTTAGGTGATTTTTTTTTTTGTTGGCTTTGGTACTTTTGAAAAAAAAACAACTTTAGACATTCTTGTTATTCACTAACCATCTTTATAACCCTGCTAGATTTTTGTATTTTTTTTTTTGAATCTAAACTTTCTTATTAACTTCTTTGTGAATTGCACAGAAAAATGTCGATTAAAAAAAAATCACCTCCCGTTCAGATTCTTACTTGCATCATATTACACAATTTGTAACTTTTAAGGTAGTGTTAGATGATTTTATACAGTTTTGGAGAGTCATTCTTGGACCACCTTTCTCCGATATTAGGCTGGAAATTAGAACTTGTTCCTTGTGCCAACATTACACTTTGAAGTTTTTGTTTCTTCTCTTGGCCTTCATTTTGCTGTAAGACAAACCTTTAGTATCCTTGTACAAGGCAGAAATCTATCACCTTGATTATCTTCCAATTCCCTGTATTTTCCATTAATCCCTGGTGTGTGAGGGACCAGATGCTACCAGGCTGTTTCAGATGAGGTCTGGATGTTACCTCCCACAACCGTATCAGTGTTTTCCCAGCTCTGCAGGACAGATTGTAACCAGAGAACAAATTTGCTTGTCCCCATGCATACATCAGACTGGAAGCTCAGAGCAGCACCCTGCTATGTAGCTGGGTCTCCTTCCATCGTATCCAAACATTTGAATCACAGCCCAACACTGACAGCAGAATTTCTTAGTGATTCTATGAATAAATGACCTTGTGCTTTGTTCTTTATTACATTTCTGTTATGCTCCTTATTGACATCCAGTTTTCCTTTTGGTGATTCGATCTTTCTCTTTGCAGCAAAATTTTTTGTCACCAGATTTCACTGATACCTTTTGTGGCAGGATCATTAATGACAATATTAATTGAAAATTCCTTTTATCATTCAGTATTTTCCACTCTGTTGGTTAATTTGTGTTTTCCCTCCTCTGTGGTAAACATTTTGTGGTTCCTTCTATGCATCAAAGCTCCTGTACAAGAGCTTTGATAATTGTCCATTCCCTAAGTCTTCCTTATTTTACTGTCTCTGAAAAATACTTGAAAATACTTGGGCTTGTCTGGGCTGCTGAAGTTTGTATACAGCATCTGAGATCAAAATCAAGTATGGAGAAAGCCTGTTTTAGTGTCTTACAGCCTTCCATTGCCACAGGTAAAATGAAATTTTGTTAAAGTAACAGTTTACTTAATTATCATTCCTCTGCTCTAAATTGTATTTTAGCTGGTTGTCCAGTGGT